AAAAAAAAAAAAAAAAAAAACAGGAACTGTGGCCCTTTCTTGCTAGGCACAGATGTGGCTGGATGGTACTGAATGGGTGTGCTGTGTCTACGGGCACAGAGCAGTGTGGGGTGGGGAAGTGCCCAGAGCCAGGCTCAATTTCTTCATGTATGAAATGGAGAAGATAACATGTCCCCGGGGAAAGGAAAATTCTTGCTCCATGGGTGTCCTTGCTGTTAGTACTTCAGAGACAGCCCTGTCCACAGACTTTATTATTTGGAAGGGGGAAGAGGGGGTCATTGGTACTGGTTGGGATGGAAGCCCCAGGGGCAGAGGTTGAGGAATTCCAGGGCTTAGCTCTCACTGGGCAGGGCAGGCACACTGGCAAGGGCAGGCAGCAGGCGTGTATATATGTCCACCCCACGGAGGAACACCGCCTCATGCAGCCGCTCATCATGGTCGTGCAGCAGCACAGGTGTGCGGTTCATGGGTGAGAAGCCTAGAGCTGGGACCCCCACCTGCAGGGGTGAGGAGGAGCCATTAGGGGAAAGCCAGCACACAGGCCCAGTTCACTGCCTAGGCACTACGTGCAAGTGGCTTACCGCGCGAAGATAGCGGCTGTCGGTGGCAACAGTGTGGATCTCAGGCTCCACAGTGAGGTTCCTTTAGAAGAAAGAGCCTGATAAATGGGGAGGGAGATAGGGAAGAGGACAAGGGAAGAATTGAAGAGGCAAAGGAAGGTGGGAGAGAGGTGGGGGAAGGAGGGAGAAGGGAGGGGGCAGCAGGAAGGAGAGCTGGCCAGCGCGCTCACATGTCCTTGCAGACCCGGCTAAAAGCTGCCCACCAGGGGTTTGAGTCATCAGTAGGTGTCACTTGGGGCTGTGTCCACTTCTGGGGGATGGGAAGGATGGCAGGATCAGGACATGGTTCTGGGCATCTTGCCCTATTTTCCATAGAGTAGGCTGTGCCTGGCACAGAACACCTCCCCACCCCCACCCCATCAACTATCCAGACATCTGGGTGGCCAGTCCAGCCACAGGTCTGGAGCCTAGGTGACAGAGTGAGACTCTCTCAGAAAAAAGTAATATCACATAAATGTTTGATTTATGACTGTCTCCCTGTTTCACTCCACAAGGGCATTAACTGTGCCTAATTTTACTCCCCACAGCATTCCCCAGCATCCACAGTTGCCTCTACAACTAATGTTTGTTGGAATAAAATGTGTCTGTCAGATAAATCCCCAGACATGCACACACTGTACTGTCGCACACTTGGGTCTCGCCCAGCTCTCACACTCCCCCATCACATGACCCAAATCCATTCATACCTGAACAAACTCAAAGGTGACCCCCTCACCAGCTGCCTGGCACCAGCTCTGCAGCTGCTCCTCGAAAGCCTAAGAGAAGGGGGATGAGCTGATCCCTCAGGCTTTTCAGGGGCCTCTAGGACAAGATTGAGGACCCGGGATCCCTCCTCCAAACCCAGGTGGAGGTGGCACCTTTAAGCCCACATCCGGTGCCACGCGGAAGTCAAAGCTGGCGCTCATAGTGGCAGGTACCACGTTATAGGCCACGCCACCCTCTAGCTTAGTCAGGTTCACAGAGGTCACGGCCCCCTCTTTCAGGTGGGGGTTTGACTGCAGCCTGTGGTGCCAGGGTAGGGTAGGGGTAGCAACAGATAAAAGGAGGTGGCTCAGACTCTATCCTCTGTAGTACCACCTCCCAGAGCCACCCCTACCGATTCCCAGGCTGTCTTACCTCTGCCATTCCTTCTCCCGGAATGCCAGGATGGAACTCACAACCTTGTGCTACGAGAGTATGAGGTTAAATGGGATAGTGGCCTCAGGACAGAGCCTCCTGAACTCCCAGACTCCCTCCCGGGGTGCCACGCACCAGCTTCTCTGCTGCTGTGTCCTCGATGAAGCGTGAGCCGTGGCCTGGCCTCCCAGTGCTGGTGACCCGTACCCCTGGGGAGGTGTAGGGGAAAGGGAATGTCTTCAGCACGAGAGGGGCTGGAGGCACAGTCAGCCCTGGGGGGGTCCAGGTCTCCCCCCTCATTCCAGGCTCCCCTGGCCCGGCCCTGTCTGCCCTCAGGGCCCATAGCATAGAGCTGGTTTCTGCCCAGTCAGGGCTTGCCCTCAGAGAAGCTCAGGTAGGACGTGTCCGGGAGGCAGAGGCCCTGGATTCAAGGCCTTCTCAGGTCTCAACTTGCTATGCAACCCTTCATAGGACTGTGCCCTTTCTGGCCTAGCATCCCACCTGCAGAGTGAGCCCTCCCTCCAAGCTCATACTTACACCAGGGACTCCGCTCACTATAAAAGACAGTGAAGGCATCAGTGGGGTTGGCCAGGCCTGAGGAGGGAAAGGGGGTTCAGAGGGTAGAGCGGCCCAGCCCCCACTAGTAGCCTCCTACCTCCTGTCTGGCTGCTCAGTGGCTTGCCAACCTGCTTACCCTCATCCAGGGCGAAGCCTGCCCTCAGGGCCTGGAACTCTGGCCGCTGCACGAACAGCTCCATGCCTTGGTGACCCCCAACCTCCTCGTCTGTAAAAGCAGCAGGGACATGAGATGAGGAGGCTGCCCCACCCCACCATCCCCTTTCCCAAAGGTATCTGAGCCACTCCTACCAGGCACAAAGGTCATGTGGATGGTTCTGGGGAACTGGTGGCCCTCCACCTTCAGCCTCCTCACAGCCTCCAGGTACCTGATGGGGCATAAGCCAGGTGCGGGGAGAGCCACCAGATGCTCAGGCTGGCCCGGCAGGCAGGGACAGGCAGGGCCAGCAGGCTGGATTCCTGTGCCCTGGACTCTACCCTACCACACCCTAGTAGGGATTCCAGAAAGTCCCTGCTCCTCTCTGGGCTCAATCTCCCTATCCATGCAATGGTCATGGCAGTAATTCTTGTCCAAGGGGTGAAGGTGTCCCTCAGCCTTGAGTTTCTCCAGTCACCCCCCAGGTCCTGGGTCAATCCATTGGACCAGTGGGGACATTGTAGGGGAGTGGGAATGGAGGATACTCACTGGATGCTGATGCACTTCATGTCCTGGGCGCCCCTGGCATAGATGTAGCCCTCAGAATCCTTGAAGGCCTCAAAGGGGTCGTGACTCCAATATTCCTTGGGGCAGGGATGGGAAGAGGGGCCGAAAACCCAGATTTAGTCATTGATCCACTCTGGTCAGTGGTGGCCCTGCCGTAGGAGCCCACCATAGGGTTGGAGTGACAGAAGGAGTGGTGGGGGCGATGATGGGGGCTGAAGAAGGCAGCTGATTGCCATCCCCCATCCATGTTTCCTGGTTCCCACCCCCCCAATCCCCACCCCACTCTGGCACAGAACTATTGCTGGACAAAGGCTGCTTGAGTGGTGTAATGTCATAAGGACATTGAGAGTTAGTGCCAGGACCAGAAGCAGGACCATGGGCTCCCTGAGGTTGGATCGTGGGGTCTGCATCATATCTGTCCCCAAGGCCTGCGCTACCCACCTCCCCAGCCCCTTACACACCTTGAAGACAGGCACCACATCCGTGTGGGAGTTGAGCAAGATGGAGGAGAGTGTAGGGTTGGTGCCTGGCCAGGTCAGCACGGTCACCACATAGCCAGGTGCCACCTGGAGAGGGTTGGGGGGGTGGTCAGAGCAGGGTGAGGAAGTGCCCAGGCCCACCTCCCCTCCCCACTTAGGGCCCAGGCCCACCTCCCCTCCCCACTTAAGGCCCCAGGCTCACCTCCCCTCCCCACTTAGTGCCCCAGGCCCACCTCCCCTCCCCACTTAGGGCCCCAGGCCCACCTCTACTTTCTGGCAGCTCAGGCCCAGCTGGCAGGCTCTCTCCTCAAGGAAGGCCACCGCAGCTCCTGGAGGCACAGAGTGTCCTGGGGCTGCGTCTGCCTACCCATGGCTTCCCACTAGCCCAGGCAGCCCAGAGAGAGGAGCAAACCCAGAAATGGACTGCTGCCTCCCCAACACAATCCACATCCCTCAGAGACACCTGCATTTCCATCCCCAAGAAAAAAGGTATTTTTGGCTAGTCAGTGACCCTTTCTGGAAGGTCAGGGGGATATCCAGAGTTGGAGGAAGGTGTTATCTTCCTTAAATATGGTAAACTATGGCACAGAGACATGAAGAGATTCACCCACCACTTCTCAGCTCATTAATCAGAGCAGGAATTTGGATCCATATACACAATTCCCAGCCACCATGGTTTTTTTTTCTTCCTTTTCCTTTCTTTTTTTTTCGAAACAGGGTCTCACTCTGTCACCAAGGCTGCAGTGAAGAGGTGCGATCTTGTCTCACTGCAGCCTCGACCTCCCAGGTTCAAGCGATCATCCCACCTCAACCTCTCCCAGGTGCAAGCGATCATCCCACCTCAACTCCCAGGTCCAAGCGATCATCCCACCTCAACCTCTCCCAGGTCCAAGCGATCATCCCACCTCAACCTCTCCCAGGTCCAAGCGATCATCCCACC